TAAAATAGGGTTGAGTATGGCTCAGTTTTCAAGTGCCCCTGAGTCCCCCCCCCAAAAAAAAAAACACCTTTGGTAAAGGGATTAATGTATTAACTCACAGATGATATCATGGTTTCTTCACACCTAAATAGAAGGAACTGCAGAAGAAACCTAAAGCATATTTCTATTGCTTTGTTTCTAATTCTTTAAAAGAAATTGTGTCTCCTTCCTTTACCAGCTGGGCGGTTCTGCCCCTAAGGAGGTGTAGGCCATTTAAGAACACACACCCATTTAAATGTGGATCAAAGGTTTTGAGCCTGACCTGTCACTGAGAGAGGAAAAAAAAAATAGTATGATACCTTCAACATCAACATACCTTGGATTTTTAAAAAAAGAAATAATGTATCTTAGAACTTTAAGAGAGTCCTAGGGTATCTAGATAACGGCTTCAACAAACTTAATACCAAGTTCGCAGTGAGGTATTTTCAAATCACTGACATTTATTTCTTAAGATCCAAACATAGTTCACTGAAGTCAAAGAAGATTAGACTGAAAAAAAATTACATGTCTAAAAATGTTACAGCTGAAGATTATCACAGTTAAAATATCATTATAGTGCAAATTATTAATCTCTTAACCCCAGAAGAGTTAAAGGACTGATACAGAGGAAGAGTTCATCGTAAAAGTCAAGGCAGAAAAAACAGCTAAGATTCAAACATTTGCCTTATGTGATCCATTTATTAACATTTTTTAAATTTTTCTTTCTCTCCAGGACAAATATTTTTGTAATTATAATGGGTTATTGATTTATAGAATGTACTAAATTTTGGTAATAACATGCTGTAAAACCCTCCGCTACATAATCATTCACATGACCTAAGTCCCAAGGACAGGAAGGCAAGGTTCAGGTTGATAACATTTTGTATTCCACTAAAACTGGTTTTAGGGCAAGAACCATTTGACTTTTATCTGACAGTTGCTAGCTTGCTTCCTTCAAGATGTGCTTAGCCACCACTCCCGCTTCTCCCATCTGTCTCCCCTGGCACTTGGCCTGTCCCCCCAAGTACATCTCTCACAGTTCTTCAGCAAACTGGACATGTCTCTTGACTGGATTTCTCAAGCTTCAGACCCTACTCCCTCCTTTTCAGAAGGTAGGTCCCCTCCAAACTCAGAGGCAAATTCCTACAATTTCTCTTTTCCCAAAGCCACCTATTTTCACTTCCCCGCTCTTTCATCGCCCCTATCTGATTACAGAAGTGCATCCTCTCTGAGCTCAATCTCTTCCCCTGTGCTCTGATGCTCTGTCTCTGGGCTCAGGAACTCTGTCAGCCTCCCCATCCAAATGAGAACTTTCCACAAGCGGTTCCCTCTGTCCACCGCACCGACTCCTACTAATAAGGCCCTCTGCACCCTGCTTTCTCAGCAGTTGCCTACTAACACCTTCCACTTGGTAATCACCCACTCAGCAATAGTTTTGCCCCCACCATTCTGCTCTAAGCAAAGCCAACCACCACATTCTGGTCCCTAAATCTAAGTCTTCTTAAAATTTACCTCCCCAGTCATCTCAATGGCATGACTGGTGCTTCTGATTTCTCCTTATTTTGAAGATGGCCCTTGGCTTCAGCAACTCCCCTATCCCTGACATTCTTTTTTCCTTTTTTTCCTTTTAGTTGTACTTGGACACAATATCTTTATTTATTTTTATGTGGTGCTGAGGATCGAACCGGAGGCCTCACTCGGGCTAGGCGAGCGCTCTACCACTGAGCCACAACCCAGCCCTTCCCTGACATTCTCATCCACTCATAGGCAGTAATGACCACAGCTTTGATCAACTGTATGAGGAACTATGGATTTGAGCAAACACTTCCACAAGTGGAACACTAATTCATTTAAGACAGATTATGAACAAATTTGTCATTTGATCCTTATAACCCAATGAGGCTTACCTACTAGGTGGGTATTATCTCAAAGATGAGAAAAATAAGAACCACACTCAAAATGATTTGGATAAGGTCACACATGAAGGGTCAAATCATGACTCCTGCCCAACTGTCAACTTAAAAACCCATGTTCCTTTCCAGACTATCATCATATGAAGAGTTAAAAGATATCAAGTTTCCACATCTAAGAAAAAATGAAGATATACTGATTATCTTGGAGAGAGACCAAGAGGCCAATGATGCTAATACTACCTAAGGGGAAAAAAAAAGAAAAAAAACAGCTAAAATCTCCTCTCAGGCCTATTCCCATGCTAAACTGAAGAATACTAAATTGTTCATATTTAAAATTTCCGAGGCTCAAATAGAATGCCCACAGCAGACATCCGGTGAGCTCTGGGACATTGCTTCAGTAGTTTGACTGCTACTATAAACAACATGTGTAAGCCATTCCTCTCCCTTCTAAAGAAAAAGTCAGCAGCTGTTTGCTAATTTTTTTTTTTTTTTTTTTTTGTGGATGAAGACATTGCCAAGTTACATATATCATTTTTATTTGGATTCTTTTTTCTTTGCAGTGCTCCCGAGAAATTTAAAAAATGTATTAAATTTAGCTCTATAAAACCCAAACTCATCTTCAGATTGGGTTGGAAAATTCTCCCATTTAGATATTTTCCTTAAATCAAAACAAACACAACTTAGAAATTTTAAAGCAAAATCTTAAAGACTGGCAAATTGTCAGAACATTAAAATTATCATTTTCCCCCATAGGACTAACTTATTTGATATTTACAAAGTCAAAGATAAATTTTGGTTGATGGAAGATGTTTTAAATACTTTGCTATTTGAAAAGCTTCATTAGTTTTAAAAATCAAATTCAAATGCTTTCAAGTTTGGGGCCTAATAGCACCTCCTAAATAGCTTACCCACTTCCTTGGTCCCTGAAGACACAAGCCTACTTGCCACCCCCCCCCCCCACGCTCATTAACTGGATAAGTATCTTGAAGTCTCTCTGCCCTCTGCAACTGACCATAGAAAGGTTAAAAGAAACTGAAGGCTTTATTTGAGAGGATATTTAATGTTCTAATTGAGTAGGTAGAAGAAAGCCATTCCTTCTTTCCTAGGGTTCTGTTGTTTAGTTTTGTTTTTTTCTCTTTAAAGAAACATTAGGAACTAAAACTCAAAAAACAAAAACAAACAAACAAAAACCCAACCATACGATATAGTGTTAACTAAAATCAAATTCAATGGCTGGGTATATTTTCTACTAGAGTTATGTTCAACTAACTGTAGTTGAAAACCATTGGGAATGCTGTGAAAAACTGTGGCAGCAAAGATGAAGTTCAACCACAAATTCTACTGTTTATAAAGAAATAAACAGCAAAATTACTGTAGTTAAAATGTTGCTGTAAGCATACCGTTGGAGTGTCCTCTTGCTAACATTAGAATTACATGCTTCACCACTGTCTGGTTGCTAAGCTTCCTTAAGCAGATGGTTCATCTCTGACACAACTTAGTTTCAGAAAAGTCAATGAGTTAGGTCTGGTTTAGATCAACGTACATGGTATGCAGAGCAGTCAGCTATGGTTTCAGTGTCACGGCAAAAACATTAGGTACTACAGCTTTCAGACAATGGTACATACTTAAACAGCAGTCATGTAATATCATGTTCTGTGACATTTGGATGTGCCATCACCCACAACAGTTTCCAAACTAGGTTGAACTACAGCATGAGGGAGGAACCGGGTGTTTTGGTCAAGAAAACATATAAAAATGTCAAAAAAGACATTTCAAATATGATGACATACCACTTAAATATCCACTCTGCATTTCCTTTTCAAAATAAAAGACTTCTTGAATGTTCCATTTCTTCAAAATGAAGGATTATGTATTTTTTTTAAGCTCAGAAACTAGTATTTCAGGTGCTCCACACAGGAATCAAATAGGACCCATCAGTGAAAGTATCTTAAGACGTATATACGAATCTATTGAAGATGGTCCTCAACTTAATACGGTTCAATTTCATTTGTAGACTATATGTAAAAATGCATTCGACTATAAAATATGTAAATAAATTAATTTTGAAAAAAGAACCGGGAATTTATGGACACTGTATATAGATTATATTAAAGAGCTATTATTACTTTTTAGATGTGAAAAAAAATAGTACTTGCAAGAAAACAGAATTCTGTCCTGTATCAGTATTGTTCACCATTTATTGTGTATGTGTGTGTGTGTGTGTGTGTCTTTTACTAGGAATTGAATTCAGAAGTGCTCTATCACTGAACTATATTCCCATCCCTCATTTTTTTTTTTTTTGTTTTTGAGATAGGATCTCACTCAGTTGCAGACACTTGACCTCAAAGTTGTGATCCATGTTACTTATTCTGAGTAATTTGATATAGATTCTGTATTTCCTATTAACCCATTCTTATTCTTAGTTATTCTATAATGAAACATGATTATAGCATCAGAGGTTTTTTGTTGTTCGTACTGGACTGAAAAAACATGGTTAAATATGAATTTTACCATGCTACTCTTAAAGTGCGTTACCTTAGAAAAATGAAACTACTGTTTGTAAAGCAGAAAGGGGGGCGAGAGGTCAGGAACCACGGAACAAGAATGAGCCACCAAAAGGTTTATTGTGGGGCGGGCGCTCCCTGGCGAGGTTCACGGTCCATGAAAGGGTGTGGGCCTGGGAAGTCGCGGGCGGGAAAGGCAAGAACAATGCTAATACGGGAACTGGGGGTAGGAGGGCCTCGCCATCTAAACTGCAGCTACCGACAGCAGGCTGGCGAGCAGAGTTTAGGGGTTGGTCAGGGCGACTGCTAAGCGGGCAGGAACCCAAGGTGGTTGGGGTCCTGTTGCCAGGTCAGCCTCTGATTGGCCATTTCAGGTCTCGGCAGGTGGAAAGTCCCTGCCCACAGCTGCCATGAAAGAGGAGGAGGGGGAAGGGAAGGCTGCCGACCCAACACTGTGACAAGAAACCACCACCGCCACTGCTATCAGATGGAAGCTTTATAATCCAGAAATTTTGTATGCTGCGAAACAATACTAATTTGAATTTAAGAATATACTCATTAAGAATACTCATTAAGAATAAATTTTTATTTTTGCTTGTAAAGAAATGCATATTAAAGGTTTTCATCACAAAAATGATATTAAAATAATTACTTTATTACAAAGATAATATTTGATGAACAGGATAAAACTTTCACATAAGAATTAAAGGATGGAATTAAGAATATTTAGCCAATACACACTAAGCCAATACAACAAGTGACTTTGGCAACTCCAATTTATTTTATAATTCTAGATTTGGGCATTTGGGGGGAACTGCTTTATATGAATCCAGTTCTCAAACTTTGCAAAGGCAATCTTTTTACAGTATTTCATCAAGGCATCACTTTTTAAGTTATTCTGAGTTATACACTTTAAAATAATATATATTTTAGCTATGACTTTTAAATGTCAATTTTTATTCACTACCATTGATTAGTTGTTACTAGAATTTACTCAAAACAAATTCAGTGTATTCTGCATATATTGAAATAAGTGAAGCAAAAATTTATGATATGGAAGTCTTAATTTTTCTCTTGAATTTCTTTCCAAATCTTTAATTGGATACCTGTTCCCATGAAAAGTTTACCTAATGTTGTACCATATTAGGTAATTTTTGTCTAAAATTCAGTAAGATTTCACTGGTGTACTAAATTTCTTATGTAATGTGAAAGTAATTTTGGGATAACTCTTTCAACCTTATAGGAAGATGGCTAAATAAGCCTCAGAACAATATAAATGCTTTAATTATAATTAAAAATGCTTTTATTTAAAAAAAAAAGATTTTTCAACTTTATGGTAGTTCAAAAGTAGTGCATATTCAGCAGAACTCGTACTTTAAATTTGGAATTCCACTTGTCCTGGTTAACAACATGTAGGACAACACCCTCTTGATGGGGCAGCAGCAGGGAGCAGCAGCTCCGGTCAGCCAAAGAATCATCAGGGCAAGCAGCACACTGCAGAGCATGGTGCTGGTGGGCACAAGGTGTGGTACGTGCATTTTCAATTTACAATGTTTTTAATTTATTGTGGGGTTTAGTAGAGGAGCATCTATGATGCCAACTGGGCAGAGCTCCGTAGGCAGTTGAACATTTCTCGTACGTACTGCTACGGGAACCTCCTTTACAATGTATGGAAGAATGGCAATATAAATAAGTTGGTTAAGAAGAGAAGTGACACTGTGTGAAGCAGTGCACCTGTTAATTTTTTTTTAGAAAAACAAGTTTTAACCATCAACATATAATCAAAATTTCCAGTCTCCCAATATACAGTTAATCACAGCAGAATTGACAATCAAATTTCGCTCTAGTTGGAGCCAGACCTCTTTACATATTTAACTAGTCTTATTTTCACCTTTTCTTGCTATACAAAATGTTTCTACTTCTAAGGCATTGCTACATTTACAAAATCTGCAAGAAAAAGCTCTTCAATGTACAACTTCAAAGTATAAATACGAACATCCTCATACAATTAAGCTTCAAGTCAGGATTTTCTATAATGGGCTTATAAAAATTAAAGATTCATTCTTCAGTTCTAAACAGCTGGTGCTGGTGCAAGGAAGTAATTTCACTGACCCTGGGGATGCAAGTGTGTCTCATGGCTGTGGTGGTGGTGGTCGTCACATCAACCTGTATGCATGAACCACATACCCAGAGATGTAGGGGACTGGCGACCTCTTCAGAGAAAATCTTCTTCTGAGCCTTTTTATACAAGTTCTTCTAAAGGGTCCATTTTCTGCACTATGTAAAGAAGCCACTTTCTTTTCTTTTGTGTAAATCGCTTGAGGTTTAAAAAAGATAAACCACATGTCCCTATCCTAACAAGAGCTTGAAAATCAAATAAAGAAATAAAAAGCTGAAACAGAGAAAATTAAAAGAAAGAAAAAAGAAAGAAAAAGCTGGTATATATATGTAGCTACTAGGTATTTTGTCTTCCCTTTTTTATTTTTTTAAATTAAGATAAATCAAAAGTTTCTAGCTTAAGTTAGGTAAAATCAGAGAAGAGAAAAAAGTAGATTATATAGCAAATACTTCTCTTGACACCTGTAATTTCTAAAACCACTAAGAGCATTTTAATTAGAATTAATTTTTATTAAAATTTATATTAAATTATATAATTAATTACATAATTTGATCTATATTGTATTTATTAAATTAACTTTATTAAATCATTAATTTAAATAAAATTTAATAAATTTTTAAATATAAATTATAATTTAGTATAAATTAATTTTATTAAATAAACAATGATTAAATAAATTTAAATCAAACAATATTAATTAATAAAATAAAATAAATTTAAATCAAACAATATTAATTTATATAAATTTAAATTAATATATTGAATTATTTATATTTAAAATTTATTAAATTTTATTTAAGTTAATTTTAATAAAAATGTTCTTAATGGTTTTAGAAACTACAGGTGTCACAGAAGTATGTTATATAATCTGCTTTTTCTCTTCTCTGATTTCACCTACTTAAGCTAGAAACTTTTGATTTATCTTTTATCTTAATATACAAAAATTAAAAAAAGGTTTTGTTAAGCATTTCATCTTTTAAAAATTTATATTATTTTCTTTCTTTTTTTTGATCACATGTTTTTAAAAAATGTGTTTGTAAGCATTATTGAAGAGCCCAGAAAAGCAGGTAGATAAATAGTCCAGATATTTAATGATACATTCTTACAAATTAACTTTTACATTGGAAATGGTTCATGTGATTCCACTTTTGGTTTGACTCAAAAATACTCTTCCTTCTGGACATATTTAACTTCTAGAAAACTGAATTAATGTGAAATGACTTTTCTATAGAAATGAAAATAAGTAAAATGGATAGGTGTCATACTATTTGGATTAAAAGAATCTTAGAATTTACCCACTAAACTTCATGTTCAGGCCCTCCCCACTGTAATTTTCTTTTAGTAGTTTTACAATGTTTTCTTCTATAAACTAAAGAATTCACAACTTTTGCAACATTATATTTTGTTTTCATATACTCTAAATCTGAGATATATATATATTTTTCATATGGGTCGGATTTTTCTTCTTTCCTATTATTTAAATGTATCATTTTTATCTTAATACAATTAAATTTAACAAATATAATCATAAAAAAAAAAAGAGGTTGGAGCTAATGGTTCACTAATGCTCCTCTGTACAGTTGCTCACAAAAGTACATAAGAATTGATTACTGCTGAGGATTACCTGATACATTGGAACAAAATTTTATAAACAAAAAGTGCTATAGCAAAGAAAACAAAAAAAATTTAAGTCCTATAGCAAAAAAACACACACACACAAAAGAAAAAAAAAGACAAATTACCCAGTATATATCTCGACTTTTTTTCTTTCTCTTTTTGTCTACAAATACATGACCTTGTTTTCCAAAAGGCCACTCTGTAAAAAAAGTACAAAGTGTTTATGGCTTCTTTAAAGTGCTAAATCATCTCTGGCTTGAGAATTACCTATTGCTTTAGAAGGTCCTGTAGTACAACTCTGGCGCTATTGTCCGGGGACACTGGCAATGGTGTAAAGGTGGGCATGAAATCTGCGATAGGTTTCAAAAGCAGATGCCCAGGTCCACCAGGTCCAACTCCAGCTAGGTTAACAAGTGGCACAGCTGCTGAACGTGGAGCCAAGAATGGACTCATGTCAGTTCTTCTACCAGCTCTGAATTCTGCTGCATCTAAATGATAAGATATGGGTTATTTAGTCTCTATCCATCACAAAGAGGTCAAATTGAAATAACCTTCTAAGATAAATAAGAGCATAAAGAAAGCTATCCCTATACTGTCAAGGAGATTAACATAGATACATGAGTCAATTTACCACATATAGACTTTAAAATTCTACTTCCATGGTAGTAACACTGGTGTTTAGCACAGTTTTTGGACTGTTCTTTAATTGTTTAGAAGGAGAGCACAAGTAGACGTTAATTTATAAACATTGATACTTATTTGCATTATGAAAATCTGATTAAAGTTTATTTGGTAACTTGGAACATTTTCTGGTTAAAAAACACAATGCTACATATGTGCTTTAGGTCTCCAGATCTGGCTCCATAATCATATGCTACTGGATTCTGGATCCTACAAGCAGAATCTATGAAATATATATACATGGTGAAGGAGAATAAGAAATAAAACTATTTATACGAATAACTAATGCTTTATTAAACATATTAATGCTGTTGCTTTATCCTTAATCAATAAGCTTTACTTACTAGAACAACAGGTTTCTAAATGGTGTTACCTATGTTGCAAGGCAAACTCTTACCCACCTAAAAAATAAAGGACTTGAGAATTTAAGATTTCCCAGTAATTAACAATGGTCATGAAAAATGCTGGTGCCCATATTGTAATAATAACAATTAGAATCGATACTAATTTACCAGAAGGAAAGATAATAGATGCATATATTACCTGATCATCTTTTAGATATTCAATTAAGACTATATCCTATCAAGTTGGGCTGACACAATTCATTTTCACTGAAATAGGTATTTGGCACATGGTCTAATGTATTAGTGACTAGAATTCTGCTTTTACACAAGACCACTAACAAGTTCACAGCTTGTAGTTGCCACTTCAGCAATGGAAAACTCAAATACATCGGGCCTCCTAACACAAAGAAAGTACTAAGACAAATTCATTAAATCTAGTTGTTATCAAGTACTCCTGGATCCCCGAGCTAGATTTTCCTGTGAATGACAACTTCCTAAACTGGAAGGCTTCTGATATTATCTACTAAGCTCTGACATATTTCTTAAATTTGCTTTAATTCATGCAAATACTATTATCAGTTCATCATTGGCTTGTGTCCCTGATCAACACCAAGCAAGCCGGTTCCAAAGTGATAAAAGAAAGAGGGTATAACAGGGGGAAAGGGAGAGGGAAGAAGAACAAAGTAGAGAGAGGGAGGGGAAGACCTTGCCATAAGGAATTGAGAATCTCCTTCAAGATGCTATAGTCTAGTGTAACCAAAAAAAAAAAAAAAAAGTTTTCAGTATTGTCTATACCTCTTGTAATTTTAAATGACTTTTAAATGAATTTTAAATGAATTTTAAATGACTTTTAAATGACTTTTCACTGAATTTGGTAGTCAAACCTAAACAAAAAATAACTTTTATCAATGGAAAAATTTTATATAAATTTTATTTATCTTTCTATAAAAGTTTGGAAAAAATGAGAAGAAAAAAGTTCAAAAAGTAAGAGATATTTGTTCATATTAAGCTTTTAAAATTCTATAAATAATTTTATCCAAATTTAAGTATATGGTATGTGATACAAACTAAAGAGTACATAATAACATACATCTTTAATCTACACTAAAATGTACATCTATATTAAAATATAAAAACTTCAGAAAGATCTTCCAATAAAAAATAGTTTAATGAATAATTCAATTTCAACTCAAGAAATTTTTCTACATGTCAATACTGGTAATATGAATATAAGATCCTTAGAATATAGTGAGATAGAAAATATGTACACATGTCTATAACTACCATCCATTTGCTTCCAGGTGCTTTATGAGTCAGTTTTCTGACCTGATCTTATACATATGCCAAGTGACACTTCGATTTTCAAAGGGAAAAAAAAAGCTACACATCTGACTCTGATTAGTAATAAGCACCATTAGTGAGAAAGGCAAACAGTTTAACAGGCAAAAGTTTTAACCAGTTCACCATCATTTCCAGAAGAATGATTCAAAGAGGCTTATGTAAAGAGAGAATTATTCTGAAATACAAAGGGAAAATATTTCATACTATTTAAATTAATCTAAGCCAATGAAATATCAGACTGCTACAATATATAAAGCCTTATTGGAATTTTGAAAGCAGTATTAATGTTTTTAAAAGCACTAAAAAATTAGTTAATATCACTAAAAGCAAAATCATCAGTTAGACATTCTATTTTTCACATTGAGAAAAAAATAAGTATTTGCATTTACCTTTAAGACTTCCTGGTACATTTGCACCTTGCTCTCTCCTTCCTGGTGAGTCTAGACATTTCATGGCATGAGCAGAAAGTTTTGGTGGTGGAACAGACGGATGAGATTCCGTTTCCAGAAATTTAACAAAAAGTTCTGAAAAAGACTAAGAAAAAATCTTTTGGTTACATTAGACTAGATAATAAAATTACATTTACTATAACTAAGAAAACATACCAGCTATTTTAATTAAAAATTGATCATGCTATGTCAATCTTTCTCTTTTTTTAACAAATCAGCTTTATGGACAAATGAAAATGCAGCACTTTAGATACATTGTTTTTACAGAATTTTTTATAATTCAGTAAATAATCTTTGTGACAACACCTGTTTCAAACACCTTACTGTCAGATTTAGCTAACTAAGTGCCATTAATGACACTTAGACGTCAGTCTTTTTTCTTATTTTTTTTCCCCCCTGTGGAGGTGGGGATTGAATCCAGGTGTGCTTTAACCCCCTTTTAATTTTTTTTAAATTTTGAGATAGGGCCTTGCTGAAGCTGGCCTTGAACTTGCCATTCTCCTGCCTCAGTCTCCCAAGTCACTGGGATTATAGATGTGTAACAGCAATGCCTGGCAAGACATAAAATTTTATCAATGGAAAACATTCATTAAAAATAAGTCCCCTTTTTCCAGCAGTACTGGGGACTGAACCCAGGGCCTCATGCATGCTAGGCAAGTGCTCTACCAGAACCCCCAGTCCTTAAACATGATTTCCTAAATTAAGATCCAATCAATAGGGCTGGGGATATAGCTCACTTGATAGTGTGCTTGCCTTGCATGCAACAAGGCCCTGAGTGTTCAATCCCCAGCACTAAAAAAAAAAAAAAAAAAAAAATGCAATCAATGAATAATAGCAAAAGATTAGTAACATGATCAAGTTAAAATAATATTGCAGCATATATCTTTCTTTTAGATTAAATTCTACGTCATCCAAATAAAACAGGATCTTCCTATTTTTGTGTCCTTTTTATTACAAAAATAAAAGCCCTATATTCTATAGTGCTACTTAATTCAATTAACATCCACCTAAAGTCTACTGTATACCAGGCACGAAATCTTTTCATTTTTGTTAACTGCCTGCTCCTACCAGAATGTCAGTTTGTTCAGGGCAGATACCTAGTCTATCAGCTTTGCAGATGTATCCCCAAAGCTTACAAGTTTGGTATACAACAAATATATGATATTTACAGGTGGTCAGTAAATATCACTGGCTCAAGATCTTGAAACATACATATGTGAATATAATAAAGATTCGGCATGTATGAATGTTGTTATTTCATGGCGGCAGCATGATCAAACAAAGAAATGACGGCTGGGGATTTGGCTCAGCGAGAGCGCTTGCCTAGCATGATCAAGGTCCTGGATTTGATCCCCCAACCACAAAAATACACAAAGAATGCTTTAATACTTTGAAAAATAAAAGAACTGAATAAAAAGTTAAAATGAAACCTATATGCAAAATAAAGTAGTTCAAACTGGACTATCATCCTTACAAACCTCACTGGATCTGTTTCCACAACCCCAAAATAAAAAAGAGTTGTATGAAACAACCCAAAGAATAAATCTGATTCTTTGCAAATGAGTGTGATATACAATCATTTCACCATTCATATTCCACAAGAATAAAACTGATTCTTACACTATTAAGCACAGATTGTTGATTTGGTCTCAGAGGTGTGTTGGGGACACTTTTTGATCCTCCTCCAAGCCAACTAGTCATCCACTTTGTAACACCACCGTAATCTTCATTCAACAACTGCAAGATTATTTTAAAACAAAAATATTATCAATACAAGTAAAGAAAAATATGAATTGCTTTCACATGATTTCAACAAATCATGCTTTCTAAGTTTGGTTCCAAGTAAATATTTCCTAATACTGACAGAGGCCACAAGTACAATAAAATGTCATGCCAAGCACCCATAAAGGTTTGGGGGATTGTTAGATCTTAAAATTTCAGTACAGTAATAAAAAAGTTGACTTATAAGTTAGAAAATGTTTAAACTAATACAGTGTAGGATAAATTGAGAAAATTAGTTTAAGTAAAAGTTAAATATAATAAAAGGAAACAATTTTCTACAATGGTATTCTTTTAGTTATAAATGCATTCAGAATAGCTTTTACTGTCCAGTTACCTGCTCCATTTCCTCCTTTTGAATGTCCAGGATGCTTCCCATTAACTGTAACACTTCATGACGTTTACTCTTTGGGGTATGGAAATGACCAATAAAAAGGTTTCTCATGAGGACTCTATGAAAATAAAGGCAGAAACAGCTCAAGCCATCTCCACATGGAGTGTGCCCAAACACTAGACAGATAAACATTTAATTACACTTAAATAATTATATTTAATAACAAAAGACTGAACAATAAAATACATTAAATTAGCTTTTTTAAAATTTGACAAGTTTAATTCAGAATATTTCTAACAATCCAAAATGCATGCCTTTTAAAACATCATTTATGAGTCACCCATTTTCTTTAACCCAATGATCACCCGAGGAGGTGCCTTATTAGTGACGCTCAGTGCCTGACTGGACTGGCGCTCACCTGAAGTAGACAAGTAAGTGGCAACAACTGTTCTTGTGTTTATCTATTATATTTCTCCATTCACATTTATCAAAACATTGCTAATAATAATTTTAAGAATATTAAATATTATTGCATATATTCCTAGACTTAATATGTTTGAGCAAGATATGTTCAACAAATTATACTTTTTAAGTCTGGTTCTTGTAAATATTTTCTAATATTGACAGAGATTAGAAACACAATAAAATGTCATGCCAAGCACACATAAGTTTGGGGGATTGTTAGATTTTAAAATTTCAGTAACATATACAAGGGAACTGACATTTAAAGACAATAAAGGGAGAAAAAATAGTAAAAGGAAATTTTTTTCATTTTTAAGTACTTCACATTGGGGTGATGTTTTAAATCTTCCATATGATTTTAAGAAAAAGAACGTGTTGGGGAAAATATACTTAAAAAAAAAAAAAAAAGAAGGCAAGTTATTCTATTGACCCTCATTTAAAACTACCTCACTCTTTGCCCAGGGATGGAGCCGGAAGAGGGGACGTCCTTGTGGGGGCTGCAGAAGCTGCACCCCCCTCCCCCCAGCTGGGCGTGCAGCTACTTCACAAAATAATTGATGGCTTCTGTGGTCCAGCTTATCCTCTCTACCAGGATTACCACATTGTTTGGGATTCAACAGAATGGATGAATGTTTTAGAAAATGTTACCAAAATTTTTAAAGCTCTAGTTGGTAAAAATTTATCCGATGAAGAGACACTTCAGCAATTGAATCATTTGAATTCATCTCATCAAGAAGCTATCATGAAATGCTTGAAAAGTAGGAAAGATGAAATCAAGCAAGTTCTTTTAAAGGAAATAGTTGATATTTCTTCTGCACAGTTACAGGATTTTGATTGGCAGTTAAAGCTTGCACTTTCTAGTGACAAGATTGCTACTTTACAAATGCCACTCTTAAACCTTCATCTAGATGTAAAAGAAAATGGTGAAGTAAAACCATATTTGGTTGAAATGAGTAAAGAAGAGCTGCAGAATCTAATAAACTCCTTGGAAGCAGCTAATAAGGTGGTTCTGCAGTTGAAATAACAAGAAATAATGGCTACCAATGCTATCAGATGTCACTGCAACACTTGATATGGCAGAGTGAATGCTGTGTGTTCAAGACCGCTGAGATGTATTGACTCTATACCAGGCTGAGAGGGCAGCAGAGCTGAGATTTGAAAGATAAAAGTCTACCAGCCTCCCTAAGGAACAGGAAATTACTTAGTAGATAGGAAAAAGATAAAATGAAAGATGAAAAAGATGTAGTTGCAGTTTATATTTTCATAATGATTGTTTTGTCTCATTTATTAAATATTTGAGAAATCTGTGTAGATAAAATTTTATTGAAAAGTAAAAGTAGCTTATAAAGTAATGTAAACATGCAGAAGCACAACATACTTGAATATTGTTTAAAAATGACTAGAAAAGACATGTATTATGGATATATAATTAATTTGTGATATTTAAGAATAACTTTTTAAAAGAATGTATAAACTGCATTTATAACTCAGGAGATTTCATATCTTTCTCATATTTCAAAGAAAAGATTATAAAATTTTTTATAAGATTAAAAAATTTCTTAGAGAAAAGTCTTTATCAGACGTGAAAAAACAATTCAAAATTTATGTGAATTTTTAGATTCTATGATCTAAAATCTGGAACACACAGAAATGAAAATAACATTGCTATTTCTGCATTTCCATGTCTGGTTGGGAGACTGTGTTCTGATTAGATGTCATTGTGTAGTGTATATATTGATACTGGGGTATCAGGTAAGACTGACTATATACAGGTCCGTTTTGTTATAAATTCTTTTTTTTGAATTTTTAATATTTATTTTTTAGTTTTTGGCGGACACAACATCTTTGTTTGTATGTGGTGCTGAGGATCGAACCCGGGCCGCACACATGCCAGGCGAATGCGCTATCGCTTGAGCCACATCCCCAGCCCCTGTTATAAATTCTTAATGAACTTAACACTTTTGGATGTTACAAATTACATTGGAAACCAGAAAATTTTTAACCTCAGCTAACTTTAAAAATAAGTGTTCTGAACAAATAAAAAGTGTCATGTTTCCAAAAAAAAAAAAAAAAAAACTACCTCACTCATCTCAACATATGAGAAAAAGAAAAGACTTCTTAAAAATCTAGTCATATTATAAAGATCTACATTTATAAGTTGTTTTTACCATAAAAGCAATCTCTATAAAATATACAAACGTTAAAAGGCAAAAGCTTACTTGTCTACTTTTCCTTCTGTGCTGTTTACCAAATTCGTCAATTTCTTTTGGGCATCGTCCAACATTTCTTTTCGGAGCTCATCTGGTTTAAAATATATGAATAAAGATAGCTATTAACTGATTAAAATAGTTTGGGCAGACACATAATGATACTTATAAGGTCTTTATTATGAACTTTGAAAATACACCCTATTCTAATTGGGAATATTCAATTACCTCCATCTCATCTGTGGTTTAGGAATCCAGGATCTCTAGGAAATAAGCAAGAAGCCCGGGAATGCATTATTCCATATGGTTTCCCCCAATAAAATATCTGATTCCTTAAAAAAATTTTTAAAACTCACAAAAGATTTCCATCCTCTAGAAACTTAATATCAAAGAAATTTTATCACTATTTCCTTGCACGAAACATTTCCAGAGCAACTCTTATTTAATAGGAGGAAATAGAAAGATCAATTTCATATTTTTCTATTTTCCTGGCTGGATTCTGGTTTTGGTGAGTTGAGTAAGAGTTCTGCACAACTAAGTCCTTGGCTCAAGACACAGTTGATAGAACAGGCCAAAGTATTCAAGGGTAAGGAAATCATAAAATACAATTCAGACCATTACAACAGTTTATGACTGATTTAGAAGGATGCTTGGACTATTTTTAAATTCTTATTTAAAAAGTAAGCAAAATCTGGGCTGGGGTTGTAACTCAGTGGTAAGAGTGCCTGCCTACCACACGTGAGGCACATGCTAATCATAACACAGGGCCAAGGATTCCTGGACTAAGAAATTCGCAGTTGAACATGGAGTTTATACCTGTTACTTCGAAAGTGGATCGTGTGAGCTGAAAGAGATGCTTACTAATTGTAAGGAAGATTACATGTTTTCATTTTGAAAGAAATGAAGAGGAGACCACTTTGTAACAGAGCTCTACTTCGCAAATCAGGAAACACATCCAATCACGAGTCTCTGACCTCTTTCCACAAACCTAGTCTATCGACTTATGCATTTTCCCAGCAGTAGCTGTATATAAGTTCCCTTATCAGATACATGACTTGCAAAAATTTTTTTCCTCATGTATGGGTTACTTCTCTTTGTTAATGGTATCCTTTGAACAACAAGGTTTTAATTTTGATGAAGTCCAATTTATTTATTTTGTTGCTCGTGCTAAGATAGTATTCCTTACCCAGACCATGAAGACTTACTTCTGTCTTAAAGAGTTTTACAGTTTGATTTTAAAATTTAGGTCTTTTTTTTTTTTTTTTCTGTTAAGAGGTGGTTTAACAATTCCAAACACAAAATTTCTCATCAGTTTTTAAAAGCTATTTACAAAAAGTTTCAATTCTACTACTTTTACTTTTAAATATATCAAGCACTTCTAAATATATAGAAGGACTAGATATTCCACATAAGACCCTGTCCACTATTCACACAGCACTGGTAAATAAAATTGCACGCATAGCAATGGTTAAATATGAGGTATCTTCTAATATGACCATTTTGTCCTTGAACCTCTCCCTCCTCATTTCCTTCTATTTTCAGTCCAGTGGACAAGTACAGGCATATGTAACACTTAGAGATGGTCGAACAAATCCATATCCAAAAGTCTTTTTACAGAGGACAAGCTTTCCTATGAATTTCAACAAAAAATGCACAAAATGTTCTAATTTTACTAACTACTTGGTCATACACTGGCAACCTCTTTAACATCTAGAGACTAGATGTTACAAAATTGGGACTTATTTGTCCATTATATACACTATATACACAGCAAAAACAAAATGCACAAAACATAGAAAACTGATGTCTGAAAATGTCCAAATATGAACACACTAACCTTTTGCAATTGCTTCCCTCCCACCTCCTCCACATCACTGAGCAAATACAGACAGTACTATACCGCTCACAGAGGTGGTTTAATAGTTCCATTCCCAAAAGACTATTTCATACGAATTTTAGCAAAAAGATATTTACAAAGTGATATTTTACTACCTCTATGTTTAACATACATCGGGCACTTCTAAACATCTAGACAAGACTAGATATTTCAAGTAAGGACTCAATTTGTCCACTATGTACATGACAGTCTTGAATACACTGCACACATGTAACAATAGTTCTAATTTGAAAATGTCTTCAAAATATGAGCATTCTGGCCCTTCACCGACCCAGTGGGCTATAATGCTCAAAATTTTCAGAAGACAATCTTTCCTAGGAGGACTCATTTGTCCTTTATATACACTATGTACACAGCAAAGTAAAACAAAACCCATAGACAACTCTTGGCTCTCGGTAAGCACACTGGCACGGTGCTCCCCAGGACCAGCACACAACTGTACTATTCAACAGGGGTTTGGCTATTGCACCCCCCCCCCAAAAAAAAAGAAACCATTTCATAAGAATTTTAACAAAAGAAATTTACAAAATGTGTCATATATTTTACCACTTCTACTTTTAACATATATCAGGCACTTTAGAACATCTAGAAAACCTAGATATTTAAAAAAAAATATTTAGCATTTTCAACTATATATACACTAATGAGTAATAAAATGCACACGCAAAACAATGGTTATTATATGAAAAATGTCTTTTACGTAAAACCAGTCTGACACAGGACCTCCTTCTCACGGTCAGTCTTCTCCATGTCCAACAACCCACTGAACAAACGTGGACAAGTGTCGCTCCTAGAGGTGGTCTAACAAATTCATTTCAAAGTCACTTCCAGAAAACATTTCTGATTTTTTCAAACAAATGGACATTTACAAGACGTTATTTTCTAACTCTATCATACGTCAGGCATCCTCTTTACATTTAGAATGTCCAGATGCAGCACAAGTTTTAAAAGGTTGGGGGGCAAGTTGACAGCAGCTTTTTCATATTATATACACAGGCCTTTTACAAAGGGCCAGGAAATCTCCCCAAAGGGTGGCGGGCGTTTCCAACTGGGTAGATGCGGCTTGTGACCACCGTTTCTCTCTTTGGTAGAACGAACACCAACCGCCCCAGCCGCTAACCGTTCCACCCGTCGTCATGTCATCTTCCGGGGCTTCTCTCACCTTCCAGGACGGTGGCCGAGACAAGGTGCGGTCTCCAGGAGCGGGCACTGAGCGCTCACGGAGAGCCCTGGTCTGTGCGGCTCCGCAGTCCAACGCGTGGTCGAGCTTTCAGGCGTCCATCCTCCTTCTTGGGACCTTGAAGCCCCTGTTTGCATCAGTTTGTGGTTTTTCCAAATTGCAAAATACCATCATGTAAATAGGCTAACTTTATCAAAGTGGAGGCGGTTGCCATAACTATATTATAAAAGCAAGGTTTGTGTTTGGAAAATCTACTATAAACTTCTCCTTTCCTATGTTTCCAAGGAATTTAAACTCGGATTTAAAAGGGGGAAAGGAAAAAGGGAAGAAAGTACTCTTTATTAAAGTAAACTTGCTAATCTGGGCAACATTTTATTTTAGATCCTTTATCTGTGTATGAATTCTATGAGCATGTGATTGCTTTTGGGGCCTTTTCTTGCACTACTTTTTTTTTTTTTTTAATTCTCATTGTTATTTCTGATACTGGAGCTTAAGCCCAGAGTTACTTTACCACTGAGGTGCGTTCCCCAGCCCTTTTTATTTTGAGACAGGTTCTCACTAAGTTGCTCAGGCTGGCTTGAATTTGTGATCCTCCTGCCTCACCTTCCTGTGGTGCTGGGATTACAGGCGTGTGCCATTGTGCTTGGCTCTAACACTACATTCTGAATGGGAAGAGAATTCTTGACTCTTCAGAGGAAGAAGAGCAAATAAGTAAGTTAACCTCATTACTGTTCTGACTTAACCATCCAACCCACAAGCTGCAGAAGGAGCCTGAGTGAAGATGGGCAGGGTCTTCTCATCTGTTCTCCTCTGCTCCTCCCCACCGGTAAAGAGAGGGAGCAGAGAAATAGAAGTCAAACTTCATTGCCCTGTTCTTCTCTGAAATTTCCCTTCTCCTAGCTACTTTCTCTATAACTAATAATTTTATGCCAATTATTTGTCAAAATGATAATAATTTGGGTATACTGGGTCATATTTATCAAAATTATTTAAATCTGTATATTTTTATTGATTTAATGTAGTCACTAAAGACTTAAAAATTGTGTGTGGCTCACAGTCTATTTCTATTGAACAGTATTTTATTAGATCATAACCTGAATATAAAACTACACTATTCTGTCTCTTTTTTAAGAAAAAAAAAAAAATGAACTGGGTATGGTGGTGCATGCTCACAGTGCCAGTTACTTAGAAGGCTGAGACAAGAGGATCCCTTGAACCCAGGATTTGGAAGCCAGCCTGAACAACATGGAGATGGAGAGACAGTCTCAAGCAAACAAACAAAAATGAATGACAGACATTTTCAGAGTAAAATTCATGGAACAGATTCTGATACAAAGTATCAGATTCTGAGTAGATTCTGCTGCACACAATTTTAGCAAAATAAGTTAGAAAGTCAAAATGTAATTTAAGGCCAAAATCTCAAGAATAAAATTTCTTAAACCATTATTAAAATATATGGTTAGTTCCTGAGCTAATGTGACACAGAATGCAAAAGGCTATTTCAAATTCAAGGAGTAGTTTAAATGTATTTTGATATTTGTGTCCAGAAAAAGAACAAAGTCAGAATTAAGGGAAAAGGGTTGAAAGAAATGTGTTAACTGAGAGGCTAGAAAAAGGCAACCACCCACTTCCAAGGTCTCCAGAGGCACCTCTTTTTCTCCAGGAACATTTACTCTCCTCCCATCAGAGATTCTGAATTTTCTCTTTAAAAACTGAAGACTAACTCAAACCACAATTTGAACTGCATTTACACAGGTAGGCAAATAGCACCATTTAGAAATGACTTTAAGCCAAATACAATATTCCTGTGAAATAACCTCACACGCCAAAAGGATTCTTTAGAAGTTAGAGTGGGAGATGGATCAAGGACTTAGGAATACAACCAGAGACCCTGTGTCTAATAGAAGAAAAAGTAGGCCCTAATCTCCATTATGTAGTATTAGGCGCCAACTTCCTTAATAAGACTCCTAGAGCGCAAAAATTAAAACCAAGAATCAATAAATGGGATGGACTCAAA